GTTTTTGATGAAGAGCTTGATTTAAACGTTCCAGTTGCTGACTATAGATCTCTGCATTGACAGTTCGCTGCGGAAGGAGTCCAGGTTTTGTGATCGGAAGTGGTTTTTGTCTAGGACTGAGCCATTGATGGGAAGAATCTATACTGGAAATTAAGAAACTAACAGAGATGTAACACTATTCTAATTACGTCCAACACACGTACTGTATTATAAATAGGTCAATTACATCTAACACACGTACTGTATTATAGGTAGTACAATTAGTCCAATACTCTTACTGTATTATAGGTAGTACAATTAATCCAATACTCTTACTGTATTATAGGTAGTACAATTAGTCCAATACTCTTACTGTATTATAGGTAGTACAATTAGTCCACTACTCTTACTGTATTATAGGTAGTACAATTAGTCTAATACTCTTACTGTATTATAGGTAGTACAATTAATCCAATACTCTTACTGTATTATAGATAGTACAATTAGTCCAATACACGTATTTATTAACATTAGTACTAAACAATGGTACAAACAAACAGTATTGAGTATATAAACTCTCTTGACCCGTTTTGTCTTTTAGAAATTTAAAATGCGAAGCAAAGAAAATGGTCTTCGTCTGATTCTGCTTGTGATTTACTGTGTCATGTCTTCTGTGGCACTTATATCAATAGAGAACGGTGGTTACAGGGATATCGTTATTGCACTTCACAGAAATGTACCCGAGGATGAGCAGCTGATAACGAACTTGAAAGTAAGTGACTTTAAGACTTTATAATGGGCCTATCATTCATAATAAAACTAGCAGATATCGAATTTAAAAGTAAGTGAATAACACTTCATAATGGGCCTATCATTTATAATAAAAACCAGCTGACATCGAATTTAAAAATAAGTGACTAACACTTTATAATGGGCCTATCATTTATAATAAAAATCAGCTGACATCGAATTTAAAAGTAAGTGACTAACACTTTATAATGGGCCTATCATTTATAATAAAATCCAGCTGATGTCAAATTTATAAGTAAGCAGTGTTATTGTTACGACAGCGGAAGTCACGTGACGCTGGTAACACGTAATGAGTTCTAGAAAGATCGGGGAACATCGCGAATAATCCAGTATTTGCTAGGCGCCCTCTATTCTTGTATATAAGTGCGCCAGACAATGAATCGGGATATAGAATTGCAGACAGGCAGAGATAGAGACGGACAATTGAGTCAAGCGCGGTAGTAAGTAAACTGCGTGAATCGTTCGTTGTGAATTATGGCGTGTGTTTAAATTAAAGTGACTGTGGAAATTAAGTGTATTGCAAAGTTGAGTTGAGAAATAATAAACTAGTTTTATTTAAAAAAGGACTTGTATCGCTGAAGTTTATCGGAAAGAATTTCTACTGAAAATTAACAAACGAACACTGAGACGTAACATTATTAATTTATAGTCCATAACAGGCTTAACACTCGCAGGAAAACCAGCTCACAGCAAACGTAAAACAGTTTATTATGCGCCTAAGTCTTCTAGAAAAACCTTATATGATGACGAACTTACATACATTAGGTTATAAATTTTTTCGTATTCCTCTTTTTTATAATACAAATTTCAAATTAAGGATATGCAAAAAATATAATTTCAGTTCTACATTTCACCTCTCCCAAATCCTTATAAACTTTTCCGCAGAATACTAATAAACACATTATCTACTTGAGAGCGCAATTCTAAACTAGAGACTTGCCTCACACTTAAGTTCATCACCTAACAAGTAAAACCTATTAGAAAATTATTTATTTGTTGTATTTTTACTTACAGTAATCATAATTCTTAATTTATGACAGGAACTTATCACTGAAGCTTCGATCTACCTGAACAAGACGACTAAAGGCCAAGCTTACTACAAGGATATAACCATAGCTGTCCCGTCGTCATGGTCCAGTAAACCAGACTATGAGACGGTATCAAAAAACTATTTTCATAATGCAGACGTTAGAATAGATCACCAAAATGTTTACTACCAAAACAATCCGTATACTCTCCAACCGGGAGGTTGTGGAGAATCAGGCCAATATATTCATCTCACCCCAAAGTTTGTGAAGGAATTTCATACAAAAACATTAGAAATATACGAAAATGCAGGTGAGTTGGAAGAAAATTCTTAGCCATATCGAGTCACTTGAGGATTTAGTAT